GATAGATAGATAGATAGATAGATAGATAGATAGATAGATAGATAGGACTTTAAAGTATACAGTGTAAATAAAGAGCTTATAGAAAATAGTTAAAATAGATAATAGTTTTATTATTATTTGATGGGTGGTTCAAAAAAGGAACCTACAACTCTCCTACAGAAAAAATCTCATTTTTAGCTGTGTTTTTTAGGAGTTCCACTGACATTTAGAGACTGGAGTGACAAGATGGTGGCTGTAACTGAGCAATTAAAGCTGCCATCATAACTTTCTGACCACTCTGCTAGTTGTGGCCCCAAGGAGAGATGTATAGTTTCCAGGAATTCTAATGCAACCAGAAAAAACTGAAATTTGGGAGGAAAATTAAATACAAGTAATAATTATAATCATTTTATAGCCTACTTTACATATAAATATAAAGCCACTTCATTACATATAAAATTCATAACGAATACCCTGGTTATAAAAGCTATGTTTGGTATACAGCACTGAATGCTAAAGTTTATTCATACAGTGATGATAAATTTATGGGTTGAATTTACTTTCAAATGTTTTTGTTGCAAATGGACTTGCCAGGAATGTAGCATCTCTTCATTTTCTACCCGTTTAGGAGAACCAAGAAGGCAAAAAGTTATGTGAAATGTGAAAACAAGAAAAAAAATCAGCATTGTGGTAAAATAAAAAAGCAGTATTCTAAACTTTGTTCTCCGTGGTATGAAACAGATACAAAAAGGACAATTTTTCTGCAAACAATTGTAAAAAAAAGAGCAGAACAAAGCTTAAAATACATATTTTGGCATATGAAATGTCCAGGAATTCTTGTTTTCTAAATCATTGTCTGTATCTGCATGTTTCTGATCCTTTGTTATTTTTTTGTTGTTGTTATTTTATCATTTTCACAGACCTCTGAAAACTGTATTGAGATAAGTTTCTCTCCCTGATAGTTTGTTTCATAAGTTGGTTTATAATTTATTAGTTGGGTAACTATAACAAATATAAAAAATAAATACGGTTTCTTTTACACTTCAACCATTTTATAGATAATGTAAAAAATAAATATTTGAACTGCTTCACAATACTTTTGGTTTTCAATTTTCCTTATTCATTCATTCATTCATTCATTTAAATTTATTGGCCATCCAACTCCAATGGACCCAGTTTGTGGGGGGAAAGACCCTGGGTAAAAAAAAAATAAAACATCTTTGTTTTCCCTCCAGTCCCAACATATTTGGAAGACACCACAGGGGGAAAGAGTGAGCTAAATTATATTTAGTGAATGTTCTCAGCATAAAACGAAAGAGCTGATTCTGGCTGCCTGTTCTGTCTTTTTTTAAAAGGTCCAGAAGGAGCAAACCTTTTCATTTATCACCTCCCACAAGAGTTTGGTGACCAGGACATTCTCCAGATGTTTATGCCTTTTGGAAATGTTATTTCTGCTAAGGTCTTCATTGACAAACAGACTAATCTGAGCAAGTGTTTTGGTATGTAATATTCAGTACAAAACAACAAATATCCAACGTGGTATCTGCTTTTTTATCTTCCCCTTTTCCCAAACGGACATCTTAGGTTCAACATTTATTGATATATCCTGCCTTCTACCAGAGAGCTGTAGATATGTTTTTTTATAGTACAGATCATTCTAATGTGATCCACAGTTGGATATCTGAACGTTGTTTCTTCTCTTAAGGACAAACATTTTCCTGGGCCTCAAGTTTGGTTTAAGTATGCAATGGTTTCCTCATCTAAACTCTAATTCTTGAACTCATGGCTTTTACTTTAAAATCTCTCTCTGGTTGAGCTTAACCTCTGATGGCTTTTTTGGACACAGCCATGTTGTGTCCAAAAAGAGGTTGTTTCTTGGTAACAACAATTAATTGTTTGTCTATTACTTAGATTGTGGGCTGTTTCCACCACAGACAACTGTAAGCTGTAAACATTCTACCTTCATAACAAAGATTAAAATGGTATAAAAACATTAACAGTCCACATCCCCATAAATATTCTCCCAATAAAACAAACAATGCCTGCATTTACCAGGGAAGAGTGCATCTACATTTCACAGCCCAAAGTTTCTTGGAATATCCAAGTCTTAATTAGGTACTTGTGGGAGGTAATCAGATACTAATTAGGCCCAACCTTGCTTAGCTTTTTGAGAGCAGCCAAGAACAACTAGGTTCTGCCAGCTTCTGTAGACTTCTCATGTCAAAAGTTAAAAAAAAAAAGTATATTATTTATTATCTATTTACTTACATACTTATAGACTGCTCCAATCCAAGGAGATCCACATTAACATACAAAACCCTCTTCTGTAAGCGGGTTAAAACAATGGATCAAAATAACAAAATAAATAACACATTACAAGTAAAATAAACTCTGCGCCAAAGGAGTAAACAAATATCAACACATACTATCATGGGAGAAGTACTTTTTTCAGCAATTCTGATCCCAGGTTTTTTGGATAGCCAAGTCTTGAAAGCTTTTTGGAATGTCAATAGCAAAGGAGATAATCTAATTCACAACTGGGAAAGTTAATCCCTGGGATCCTGGCAGTTGACGTTCTCTTTTAAAAAGGACCAAAAGAGAACCTCCTCTTCCAGATCTTTTTGGATAAGCAGAAGTCAGTAGGAGAAGATTATCCCAAAGATATCTAGGTCCCAAATGATGTAGGATTTTATGGATGACAAACCAGCACCTTGAATGACCTTGAATCATAGAGGTCTAAACTAAAGGCACTGTGTGCTACCCTGGAGAAGTGCTGGCTTCACCTTCACTAGAAGTGTCCAAGCAGAGTCTGGACAGCCATTTGTTGGAGATACTTGAATTTGGATTCCTGCACTGAGCAAGGAGTTGGATTTGATAGCCTCAAGGGCTCTTTCCAGCTATACAATTGTAGGGTTCACCACCTGGGATTCATTCCTGTTGTGAACTCCCAGTCATTCTCTTCCAAATAAATTTATCTTTATGTTCTTGATGAGGGAGGTGTTTCTTTGCTTTGTCCTCTATAACCATTTCAATGAAAAAAGGAAAGACCGTGAAAGCTCCATAATGAAGTGAAATGTTTCTTTCCTCACAGCAACTCCTATTAATCTTGAAAATTACAAGCATTTGTGGTTGAATCAGGAAAAATACATAAAAAATTATTTTTCTAGATGTACAACAGAACTGTCAAATGCATAAAACTAATTACATCCTATGTGAAGGAATGTCATTTATTAGACAATCAAGCTACTTTATTATGAGTGTCTAATTATTCTCTATTGTATTAAAAAGAGAAAAAAAAGCTCTTCTCCATGTTTAACTCATTACTTGTAGATTACATTAAATAACATATTTCCTCCCCTAAGAAAGACTATGCAGTTGCAATGTAAATGCAATATAGTTGCATTCATATACAGAGCACACAGTATTTGATAAATAATTTATTCCTTCTGATGCCAGTTCTAGTTCTCCCATTTTATGCAAATTTGCAGCTAAAATTGCCTCAGCCACACCTAAGAAAGTAGGCTCAGTGTATCTGCATGGCATTATCTGCAATGATGCTGTTATAATTCATCTGAGATGGAATATTTACAGAGAAGAATAAAGGTAGGGACCGAATGTAAGGCAAAATGAATGAACTAGCTGGACAAGGACGATGAAGAAGGGACTCATTGGCTGAATCACACAATATGTTTAACCCTAATCCTAGGTTCACTGGAAGACCTGAAGGGCCAGCTTAGGGACAGATTGTCATGGAGAAAATCTGTTTATGTGGTCAGCAAGAATTAGCATTGACTTGATGGCACTTAATCAATCTCAGGATAATAAAACTAAACAGCTATGTTCATGTGACATGTGATGCCCCCAAAAATCTGTCACCCATCTTATGGCTTAATGCAATCACCTGGCGCATGCAGTTTTACCAAGCTATTTCCCACAACATATTCAACCACATAGCATTGAGACCTGTTTTAGACTAATTTAGCTATCCTAGCCCTAAATGGGGGGGCGGGGGGGCGGGGAGGATGATTTCATGTCCTAGTATCTATCTTCTTGGTTGATTCTGAGAAGCCATTTTAAAATGTCCTTAGGGATAAAAGTTACAGTTGTCGAGAGGTGTCAATGTAAAAATGAAAATATTGTAATATAGCTAGCATTCAGGTATACGCCTGATAGCTAAAGTAAATAAATAGGTAAACCAAAATTAGAAGAACACTGAAGGGCTTGTAATCATGATTAAAATGACCCCACCTATTCCAGTTTTAAAAACACAAAGTGTTTTCCATTCCTTTTTCAAACAACAGGAAGTTCAAGATCAGCCTTTATTGGGTCACTGTCCTGGGTGAATTATGGTTTTGGTGGGGTCTTCACTATAAGTTACTGCAGCCAGCACAATGTCCATCCAGTATCACACCCACTCTCCAGCTGCTTCTGCTACTCCAAAATGTTTGGCAAACCTTTTCACTGATCATGAAAATCAGTTTTGTATTTTAACTCCTGTTTCCTCTTTATTTCAACTTACCAAACCATGCCTTTGCAAACACTAACGGAGCAGCTAGGCAGAACACATTCCCCCTCATTGTTGCTATCAGGAAACGAACTAGACCTCATGCCTCTGTTTTATGCAAGTGCCTACGTGTGCATCATCACAGGAAGTATGGGAAAGATCCACCCGATCCCAGTCTTCTTTTTTCCCCTTTGCACAGAATAGACCACTCAACCTCTGCTTTATCTCTGAAGGAGCAGATACATATTCAGTTACCAATTAGATCCAATTAATCAAACCTTGCTTTTACCAAAAAAAAAAAAAAAAAGTTGTTTGCAAGGGCAATAGGATGCCAATAATTCCTCTGGATTCCTGGCGAGAACATTGCATGGGGGAGAGAGTTGTTTTAGTATAAAGATGACTTTTGACACCATTTCCTTTTAGGTAGAGAGACTATTTAATGCATGGCCTAGTAAGAAAATAGTGGAATATCCAAATCTCTCCTCTTCCATCCCAGAATGCACTTTATTGGACTTTAGGACAGTTTCAAAACTTTCTAATGCTAATCTTCCATACCTTCAGTGACTTCTGCTTTTCACTAAAGTTTTATCTCCTGCTGCTTTGTCATTTTAGTTATGTATGTATTGAGTTTAGTTTATTTGACCTACCAAGTATGTTATAATCTACCTGACGAGGTGCATTTTTAACAATTAAAAAGCATGCTTAATTAATTTAATTAATAAATATGGTAAACTGATTCAGGATAATTATAAATTTGTAACAGCAAAGATTAATCTACAAAGATCATCTAAAAATTCTCAGGGAAGACATAATCTGTTGTTTTATAATCATGATTTGCTTTGTTTAACTCTTTGATAGGCATAATTTGAACTACACGTTATAAAATATCAAAATATATATATATACACACATTTATCTGAGAAGGGAGAAACTTCCAAGTGAGGTTTTTCAACATTCAAAAGAAGAAAAAAATAGTGGTAGCTAACAGTCCTAGAATATTTTATAAACTTTTAAAGCTAGCAGCAGAACTATACAACAATGGAATAAAATAAAATATCTCTCTAATGTGTTGGTCCATTTCTGTTGCGTTTGGATCACACTTTGAGAATTTTATTTATAAAATAATAATTTTAAAACTCTGCTACTGTCAAGCTAGAGTCGTATGGAAGGAACTGGATTAGAATTTTTCTTCCTATATGCATGATAATTATTTTCTTAAAAAGGAAAGGTCTGAGTGCCTATTTATGAACAGGAAGTTGGGGCATGGAACATTGAAAGTGGTGTATTCTGCCTTCAGTCTAAATGGCACAATTATCTTTCCACTTTCTCCTGCTCTATCTCTGAGCTGAACTGACATTGTTAATACACTGGCCCAGTTTCCCCAACATACAAACCCAGGTCAATTGAAACTTAGTACATGCATTAGCACAATATAGGATGTTCGGTTAGAGTTTTTGTTTGCTTCTGTGGCTTAGCAAGTTTTGCAGACCAAATTTGGTTACCTTATGGTTCAAGATCTGTGAATTAACCAGAAAATTAATTGGATATAAAGTAGCTTCCCTTTTATTCAGTGTATCTGGCAGGTCTGATGTCTTGTAACCCAAAGTCTGAAACGATGACCACATGGTACCATTTTGGACCAAAAATACTGAACTCAGACACATCAGAAAGTAGTTTGGGTTTTGTAATCAATGGAGAAACAACTGAGAAAGAAAAGTTGTCTATTAAAGTCACAAAAGACAAAACAGAAGTGACAGAGAATTAGGAAGCAAACGGGAGTGACAGAACTGAGGAAAAGAAATCAAGTATGTCTCATTTATGCAGGAAAAATACTGTGAAAGCATCCAAGCGCTTAAGATTTTCTGCTGGTTCTTACTCCTTCGTTTTTTTCTCTCCCTCCCCCCTTCCTCCCTTGCCCACTTCTAGGTTTTGTTAGCTATGACAATCCTGTCTCTGCACAAGCTGCGATACAGGCGATGAACGGCTTTCAAATTGGCATGAAACGCCTGAAAGTTCAGCTGAAGCGCTCAAAAAATGACAGCAAACCTTACTGACCGTTCTCCCAGAAGCTTTCTGCTCTTAATTTAGATTTCTTAGGGTAAGTCTCTTGAGCAAGCCCACCCTTCCTTGGGGTGGGATTAAGAAAGAACATAAGAACACCTGGCCCACCACCTCTCAGAGACAGCCATTTGACAATCCTGCTTCCATTTTCCCCACCTGATTAAGAGAAACTTGGCTAACCTAACCAAAAAAAATTTGTGGGATGACCTACGAGATTTGAATTAGCAACTCAGATTTTTATTTTAATTAGCGTTGATGGGAAAGCACCCATACACATGCTACAGTCTTAATAATTAGAGCTGTCAGGGGAAAAAAATTGCAACTTGACTTTCTCGGCCCTGGTGTCCTTAATTCTTTGGACGGGGATAATGAAAGCAGTTCTGAGTTATCGGAATGGCACCAGTTGTGAATTTGCTTAATAAAGCTATGGCCCTGGGCCAAGAAAGCGACTCATTTAGAACAACACAACTTTTTTTTCCCATTACTTCAGTTTCTTTCTTTCTTTCTATTAAGAAGCTTTAATATTTACCATACTTAGGGCTTCAGATTGACTTGTGGTTATATTATCCTGTTAAACACTGGTTGTCTTTATATATTTCACCTATTTGTGTTTTGTTTTCCTTTTTTGTTTTTAAGTTCTTAAGGGTTTTTTTTTTTTTTGTAAAGAGCATTAGTGTAAAAAAAAAAAAGACGTAGAGATCTGTTTCTAAAGCTACAGGGTTTAAAAATAAATAAATAAAAAAGAACAATACTTGATGTTTCTTGAAAGATAAAATTTAATAATAATAATAATAATAATAATAATAATAATAATAATAGATACAAAAGAAAGCCACAGGCCTGTAAATTTTATTTGTAAAAAGCATTTCTATTTTTATACAAAAATTTTTACTGCCTCAGAAATAATGGAAGTTATTTATTGCCTATTGTTAACTTATTGGATACCTAAAGACCAGCTCTGTCTGGTAGCTAGATCATTTTGAAGTAGTCTCTAGAGTACACGTGCCAAGAATGGGTGCTTTTTCACCGTTGAACCCTACATCTTTTATGGTTCATAATTTCTATCCTCCTGTTTGTATTTTGTCTTTGTTAACTTGTCCGTTCTTTCCATTATCTACTTTAAAATTTAGTTGTCTTGGGGTTTTTTTTCCTCTCACTCTTTCTCTTGATTCCCTTCAATCCACTTCTGCACCTCTTGATGTTACCTCCGTTGAAATGGGGTCTTGATTCCCCCCCTTTTCCCTCCCCAGATGAAACAAGAATCCATTTTCTTTAACTCCTTTCCAATGGATTCTTTGGGACTCTTTCATTGTGGCCGTCGTTGACCAAGTGTACAGTTAATGCAAATTGTGTGAATGGCTGGGACTCTAATGATGAAAAATTTGCATTAGTTTTCTCCTGCACCCATTAAAATGATTTTTGTTTCTGCTGCATAGACTCTCCATAACTTTTTCCTCTTCCTTGTTTTTCCCTAGACATCTTCATGCCCGTTAGTTCATCGTTTGCCTAGCATGTCCCTGTGACGTCTTTAAAAAGTTTCATCGTCCCGTCATTGTTTCTGATGTCTTTCTGACCTCACATCATAATTTGGTTCTCCTACTGATCTTTGATCTATAGTTTGAACCTTTGAAATTTGCATGTGACCTCATCTAGCTATATGAATTCTGGGAAGTCAATGTGAAAAGCATTGCTGCATTTATGCAAGATCAAAATTTATTCGTAGTCAAATTAATGATAGGAGTATTAAAACACACACACACACACACAACCTGTGGCAAAATGTTTTGTTAAAGTTTTCGGTGTTCCTTTTTCCCTTTTCCCCCCTTTTTTTCTTTTCTTTTTTCTGTTGAAAAAAAAAACAGACTTGAAAGTATTAGACAGAGGCTGGCATTATGGCTGGTCTCTTAATGACATAGCAATATGTGTCCACAGGCACAGAATGTTGGTTTCTAACAGACTACTTCCGAAATAGTTTGAAATGAAGAACTGTCTGATTTTAAGTCTCTAGAGGTCTGTAATAGTTTTTACATTTTTCAGGCAGTGTAAAGTTTTTTGATAAGGCCATTTTAGGTGGCTCACTTTCTCATTAAGAATATATATATATAGAACCACTTTTTGTAGATTAGTATAAAAAATATTTACCCTGTTTTAGGGCAAATGCTACCTATTTGTCACCTTTTGCTGAACTGACTCACAAGTTAGACAATCCATGAATTAATGCACATGAAAATTACCTATATTTTATACTGTTTTGATGTACAGGAGAAAGGTTATTGTAAGCTACTGTTTCATTTGGTGCTTTTGTGAATTAAGTTGTGGTCTCATCATTGGGGGGGTTCCTCATGATCTTTAAGTGTTCTGTGTTTATAAACAACAGGTTTGAAATTGGTTTTTACTTGAACATCAACAACAGAACAAAAAAAATGAATTTCAAAAAATGAAAAAAGTTGTTTGCTTAAAATTTAAAAAAAAAAAAAAGTTTTCATGTGAAAAATAAAAACTATTCCAGACTAAGTTTGTGTTGGCTTCTGTGAGGCATTGATGTCAATTTTTTTAAAATTATTATTGTGGACAATTTCGATGTGTTTGTGTTCAGCAAAATGTGATTCAGTTTTCCTTTTAAATAAATAAATAAGAAGAACTCGGTGGGGGGAAAAACTTAGTGCCAAATTCCAAAGGTACTTCTCTTCCTAGAGCTTCAGTGTGTTTCTTGTGTGAAGTAATTTGATAACATGGGTATTTTATTATGTGTTTTGTATAAATCCCTAATATTTAAAGGAAAAAAAAGAGGTTAAAAAGTTTGTTAACTTGCTATCCTGTGGTCTTGTTGCCTGAAATTGTTGTTGTTTGTTATTTCTCTTGGATGTTTTTTGTAAAACATTGTATAAGTGCCCATGTTTCCCTTTTCTAACCATTCTGCGCATCAATGCTGTGAATGCAAACCTCACAATGTAATTTCCTCATAATGTATGGAAACCTCTAAGGTGAGAAAGTTTTGAACTTTTAACCCTTTCCACCCAGAGCTGTCTTGAGTGTTAATACTTTTATACATTCACCATTTTGCTGTTTATTTTTATATATACATACACACACGCACGCACACACACATGCCTAATTTTTTGTGCTTTATTTAATACATGGTTGAAATCAGAAAAATGCACAGGGCAGATCTGAAGGACAAAAAAATATTTTACTGCTGTTTAAATTTCTTCTGTATCTATAACTAAAAAAATATTTAAAATAGAAATTGTAGATCTCCTTTGGGTTTTTTTTTTTTTAATCTTTTCTTAAAAAGAGCCTTTAATATGCTGCTGGAATATGATATTCAGTATTTAAAAAATAAAAATAATCCTTTAATTATGTATTGTGTAACCACTCCTAGATAGGAGACGTTAACCCACAATTTGAAATCATGAAGAAAAAAATATTTTTGTAAGAAAAAGAAATGAACTTTTACTTAAGTCCAGTGCACTAGAACTTCCTGGATGAAACTTCCTTGTGCACTGCAACTAACTTTTTACGGATGAGGTTTACACACGTCTAAATGCTCTGATGTGTTAGCTGCCATATTTGTAATATATTGGTACAGATGCAATAGATACAAATTAGATACAGCGGTATCTTTTGTTAGCAGGATTGATTTCTGTTAGTTGGCGAACATGCAGGCTTCTGGTTTGTAGTGAATGCTTGAAAGGCAGAAGCGAAAGATGGCAGTCCGTCAGGCTGAGAACAAATTGCAGTAGCGCGCAGTCTGTTTTCGTGAGGGCAGACCTTTAGGGCTTCTGGATGCAAGCTGTTGATGCTCTGAGAAGCGGTAGCATGCACGGTGGTTTACATGGAGGGGGGCCTCCACTGATGTGAGACTGGCGCTGCCCCCCATGACACGATGGGGTTGCAGTAGGTCCTGGGAAGCTGAGCTGATGACTATCAGCCAGGCTCCTGTTCCAGAGGAGATTGCAAAAACGGTGTTTCCTCTGGAGCTGTGGGACAGATGGTGTCCTACTTGAGGGACTTGCAGGACTTTCCACCTTGCCCTGTCTCCCAGTCCTGGGATTTCCCATGTGATCCCTGCGGTGAAGGCACCACAGGCCCTTGTCACCTTTTCCTTTTCTTCCTCAGCTCTTCATAGCAGCAGACGGGACCCAGTTGCTCTTTTCAAAGCTTTCCTTTCCTACATTGCAAAAAGAAAACTTAGTGAGGGACAATCCAGGAAGGTAGCAAAATGGTGTCTTGCTGCTGTTTTTAGCATTCTTCCATTAAGCATTGCTAGTCTTCATCTAGCCCCATCTCATGTTTTCCAACCATGTGCATAGGTCCAAAACCTAGAGTTTCAAAGATGATGGGTCAGGGTCTCATCCCAAGGCGTTCTAGTCCACACCTTGGAAGAGAACCCCCATGTGGGTTTCAAGCCATACTCCTGATTTTCTTCTCCGCCCCTCTCCTCCCTGCACCGGATGCACCCCTTTTTTCTTTGTTTAATTCAGTACAGGAAGCTGGCCAGAAATGCTCCCCAGCTTTGCAGTGAAGACAGGGCAGCCCTTTGCTCTGAGCATTTCATGGGCATGCCATGCTTGGTTCTGAACATCAGTGGCATTCTTAAATGCAACAGGGAGCATTGCTAAATCAGAGCTTTCTGATCCACCTGCCATATATATTTCAGAACGTACATAGCTTTTTCCATTCGACACAGCTACTGTGTTTGCTGCAGCTGAATTACAAGGAGACACAGGCCCAGGCTTCGTGTTGGGAGACATAGCTAGTTAGGATGTCTTGGCCTGGGCCCTCAAGTGTTCAGAAATTCAGAAAATCACACCTGCCATTCATATTTTATGTAGTTACACTATGGCAGAAATGTTGGGAGAAGAGGAGCTCAAATAGGGGAGGCAATTCTGGAGCAGGTGTTTAGGATTTTTTTTTTCTAAAGTGGGTAAGAAAAGTGAAGTCTTACCCTTACAATACAAAGATTGTGGCATTTTCCAGAGGTGTCCACAGGGTATGGTCACAAGAGTCAAGATGGTGACTGCAACAGGGCACATGAAAAACAGAACTTCGGTTGTCACAGCCATCTTGACTTTTGTGCTCATACCCTGAGGACACCCCTGGTATTTACTATGATGCAATCCTTTGTGTGCCACAGCTCATTCCATAAGCAGCATGAAGCCACAGGCTGAGCTAACAGTACATATGCTGTACATCCACAGCGGAAGGCCCTACAGCTCACAAAAGTTTGTGCCATCGTAAATATGATCATCTTTAAGATGCTGCAAGACTTCACCATTTCTACTCACTAAAAACATGACATGGAAATGCCACAGAGGACTTGTGATCAATTTTGCTACAACAGTCTAACCCCATAAGACAGTTACAGAGTTTGTATGTTTATTGTTCCTGCTGAGTTCTGTTCACTTAATAGCCACAGCGTTCCCCTGAAGTAGGTAGAGGTGGAGTCCTTGGGGTTCTCTGAGTTTGGTTGTTTTCTTGCAGACGTTTCAAACAACCATCGAACAACCATTTCTTGCAGACGTTGCAAACAACCAAGGTCAGAGAACCCCAAGGACTCCACAGTTCAACCCTGAGCTACATATATTCTCTTCTATTGGTTAGATAGAAGTGTTCTGCATAACTCAGAAGCTTGCATGGTCCATCAGTAGAAAGCGATCAAACATAAAGGTAGTTGCTTAGCTATTTTGTATCTCTTATTATCTGTTTTAACAATATATGGGCACAACCCTGCAAGTATTTACTGTACTACTATCTGTTCACATCAAGCAGAGGAAAAGTTCTGCAGATCCTTAGATTTTACAGAATAACAACCAGGAAACTAGGGAATGAAAACACTTCACTGCCTTTTTTTTTTTTAAGTTAGATTAAACAGAATAGCATTCCTATTCATAAACTAAATTTTGGTATTCTGTAGTGGCAAATATAAACCTCTTTCCAAGCCAAGATTATTTCAGCAGCTTTTCATGCTACTGATAAAAAGTGCCACAATCATTTCCTATTGTCTTATCCTTTTTACTCTCATTTAAAACATCTCCCAATTTCCTCTTTCCCTCAATCTCCCATATAAATTATTTTTAAAAGGCAGGTGATAATCTACCCCATTTGCTTTTACATTCTTTTTTGGGGGGGGTATGCTTATTTTTAGAGAAACCCTTGGACAGCAAGGACTAAAATCCAAATAATGCAGAGAGGGAGAGAAGAAAGCAAAGAGAAAAAGAAAAAATTGTAAAACTCACACACATTCTCAGTTATACATAAATGCTCCATGATTGTCTCATTGTTTCTTCTTCTTCTGGGGCCTTGCTGAATCCTTGAGGGCTAACTTTGTACTTCTTGCATGCATTTTCCTTGCTGAATTATCACATGCACAGTAATATGATGTGAGATCTTTAACATTTGTCCAGGACCTTGTTCAGCATCTAAAATTTCCCAGATAATTATGCTTTGAAAAAAAAAATCAGATCCCATGTAAGAAAACTGATACTCCAACCTCCTTTCACCTCAACAGGGCTTGCATCAAAACCCCATCCAAAACTTGTAAAAATGGCAGCAACGTGTGTAATTAACAGTACATGTGGCCAGCACAATTATGAATACTTTGTCCTGCCACGCGCTGGTACTAAACTCCATAACTTCTGGAATTCATATGAATTTGCACCTGTCCAATGTGGGAAGCTTTTCTCTCTCCCTCCCTGCCAGCCCCATTCCTCATTATTTACCAAGCAACGTTCATTTTACAGCACCAAGGGAACTCTTGATTTTAAAGAGAAGTTCAATTTGCAATCTTAGCCCACTTTCCGAGGGACAAAGAATTGGGAGGCAAAGAAGGAACAGGCATAAACAGGAAACAAAAGTTGCCACTTTCTCGACAATTTCCACCCCTGAAAAGACACACCGCTGCTGCATTTGCAGCATAAAAGATTGCAAGGAAAACCAGCTAGCAAAATTATAGCTTCACACCAAGGCCTTTACTAATGCACTGCACTTGCTGTACACGAGTTCTTCATATATAAAAGATGAAACATTGAAGGGAAGCTGTGAAAGTGCAAAGGGCTTTTATTTGCAGAGGAAGAAAACATAACAATAAACAAGCCAGGAATGATTGCATTTCAAAATTTAACTCCAAAAGCACAAAGCAGTATTTTTCCAACCAAATTAGTTCAGTTATGTGAAATGGCCATATTCAAAGGAGTAACAAGTTCATCTTTCTTTCACCATAGGGGTTATTTCTCGGCTTGTGCTACTCTTTGGATCATTTTGCTGTTTCTGTTTCTATTAACTTAAGTGCTAATTAACAAAAAAAATTAAGTAATTTCATTGTTTTTCTAAATAATGTCATATCCTGTGTACCAGATTTTGGGGAGGGGGGAGGACGTTGTGCTGTGAGAAATTGTTGTTTGTCAACTAACAACAACTTTTTAAGTTGAGAGCATCAAAAACTTGGGAGATGGTCCATTCATATCACAGATGTGGCATCCATACTCAGAGAATTCCTCCTGGCTCAGCAGAGATCAGTGTTGCTCCATGGAAGTTACTCCTGGACCCCTAAATTGTCTTAAGAGGGGAGGGCCTTCCCGGGACTACTGGGCCCTTCAACATCTGGGCAAGTTCTGCAATCATGTGCAGAAGGAAGAAAGCAGATGTTTCTTCAACCCTCTATGAATTCTCAGTGTATGGAAGCTGAGCCTGTGGTACAAATGGATTATAGCCTAGGGTTTTGTTTCTTCCTATTTTCTTTTTGTCTAAGAAAAGCCAAAGTTACTGCAATGTAGTGAGAAACTGTAAGACTATTTGAGTATTGTTTCTGTTTTGTTGATGCATTTGGATTTTGCTGTTTGATGGAATTTGAGCCAAAAGCAAAATGGAAAACAATATGAGGAAAATAAAACCAACCAGCCAACCACAGGCTTTCCTACTTATAAAACTTGATTGTATGTACGCATTTTGTACCAGTGCAACTTTTTATACTGGAGATTTAAACAAAAATGGGAAAAATAGTGGCTTACTCTTGTGGGGCCCCCAATCATAACTGTTTTTCAGGTTTGATTTCCAGTTGGTAGAAAGAAAGTTGGCTTAGTTTAGAAAATTAAAAAACAAACAAACTTTGGCTTGGTTTAATTATTTCCATTTGCTTATATTTAGTGTTTAGAATTTTGTCTTTTAAAACACGCGGTAAGTTTCACTTTTTATTCTGTATTGTGCAGTTTCACAATATAACAATAAATTAGAATTTAGGAGTACACAGTCACTTTAAGTGGATATATGTATTAGGGTTGTTTTTTTTTTTTTTTTAAAGTAGGGTTTGCTTTTTTGCTGTTTAGATCAAAAGGTTTTTCTGATTCTTCTGTCTTCATTGTGAACATAACCGTGTAGTTGAAACAGTCAAACTTATTTTTGTAACGTATGTTATTGTGTGATGCAGTTTTTTGCTTCTGTCTCCAATATTAAACCATTTTCCTAATACTTGTCTCACTTTCTCTCTGTGTGTTGTAATGTTGGTAGTCATTCCGTGTTGGTAATACATTTGCACACCTCACTGTTGCACGTCCCTGTTGATTTTTTTTTTTCTATTTGTTGTGTACAAAAGATACAGTCGATTCCACTAAGTGAACCTCTGATTGGAGAATGAATGCAATTTGGTGTATTTACCCCATCTTCTTTGCCTCCTCCACCCCCAGTTGCCTTTGATTGTAATTACTAGGGTGAAGTCACATTGAAGATGCCTCTAAAAAGATATGCCTGTCTGTGTGTGTGTGTGTATGTGAGAGAGAGAACCTACATACAGAGAAAGAATCAAACTCACAAAGTTTTCTCTAATTAATGACTAAAAAGGGATATGCTTCTGTTCTGTAGGAGCATGTTAAGTTTACTACCAAAATAATTACTTGACGGGAAGAGAAACAACAAAACATTTGTATGTTTCAGAACTACTCAGCGATGCTCTGGCAGCATACCCAGTTAGTTCACCAGTTCTCAGAAGTATACATTTTTAACCACAGGTAGAAGAGCCTAAGCTAAATTTTACCAGGCTTATTACAGACATCTTTAAAAGTTTGAGAGCTCAAGGAGAACACTGAATTATTAAAGCTAGTGGAAGTCAAAAATAAGTAAACTGTTAACAGGAAAGGTGCTGAACTGGGCTTTTTTGAATTTAGCATGCAAGGTAGCTCTTTTTATGGTGGGTGATCAAACCACTTAGGTTGCCCCTAAGAGCAGGTGATGCTTTAGAAAAAAAATCCAGAGAACAAGGTACCGCAAAAATATAGATAGGCCCTAGTGATGCTATTTTGATTTTGCCCAGTGCAGTGCTCTCATCGAACCCACCAACCACTGACTGTAATGGGATTTCTGTTATTTTTCTTCATCTACTTCATCAGACATTCAAATTTATCAGGTGGGAAAGGGAACTTTCTAGAAAGAGGAATTTCTCTCCCCATGTGGGACTCAAGCCATACAGTATCCTTTTCCCCAAACTCAGGAATTTAAGACCACTTAAAAGTGCTCTTATGAGATTTTGCTTGTGATGTTTATGTCCCCAGTTAGTATTCTGGTTGTGACAGGATTGAGTGAGCTGTACTCAGTCTCATGCTTCTGCCAACTCAGTTTGAGGGAAGTGCACATAGTATATAGACCTAGTTCGCCTGCCTTTTGCTTTATGGAGCCTGGTTTACAAGCTTCTGGGCTTGCAGATTTCAAAAGCAAATTATAGAGGGATGTTCTGCCCTCTGTTCTTAACTGCCTGCGATGTGGCTTCCCTGGTGCCAGCTTGCTCAAATCCCAACCTCTTTTTCTGTTTTCCAATTACCTCAACAGTATAGCTGCACGATAGGACCATAACTGATGAGGTAACAGGGTGCTTGTGATGTCACAAGAAAATAAACTCTCTTGTAACAATATCAAAAAAGGAAATGGCTGTCATCTTCCCAGAAGATAACAGGAGCCTTAATTGTGAAACATGCTGACAATCACTTATTCCAATGTAAAAATGCAAGCTTTAAAAACATGGAATCAAAGCTTACTTGGGTGTACATCTGCAACTGAATAACTGTAGGACCAATTTTTTTAAAAAAGGATGACTGGAATCAATGTGGTTTGATAAACCAAGTGGAAGCCCCCCTCCCCAAGGAGAATCTGGATGCAAGTCCCATTTCGACAACTCAGTTCCCCTGCCAAGCCATTTATTTCTTTCAGCTGCATATCAATGCTTTGTGAAATATACCTCTCTGTGAGCCAGTTCACACCATGAATTAGTCTGGCATAAGAGTGACTCAAACCAGTTCAACATTTTTCTTGTACAATCAGATGGTGAAGCAGGAAATGGGAAGTGAGAATTCTTGGCAGTTAGGAGCTTTTGCCTCTTATTTATTTCAGATGTATATAAAATTCATAGGCTGCCAAATGGCATTTGAAGCTATATATTTTAAGCCATAATTATATACCCCTCCCTGGCATTCCAGGATAAAGATTCTATAAACAAAAATGGAATAGATTATCTCCGAGTTAATGAGACAAGCTTACACTGAGAAATCGTAGTATGTGACGGTAGACAGGATAAAAATCAAACTTCCCTGAATGAGAACAGTTGCTCATGTTACAAAGAAATTGCAGGAGAAGCAAGCCAACTTCCCTAACTGGCATCTTCCAAATGTTCTGGGACTATATCTTCCAGTGATTTGAAAATTCTGTGAGGTGTTGTTCCACCATATCAGAAGGACCCCAGGTTGGGCAAGATGGCTCAGCTGCATCATATTTCTTCTATATTGTCTACAGCAGACCTGCTCAAGCAGTGATCCAACATGCAGCACACCCTCTGTGTGTTTGTGGCTTCTCAGCTGGTTGACAGTCTTGTTCTCGCAAACCCAGACAAGCTGGAAAAATAGAACATTTTCCTGAGCCCTGGTTAGGTTAGAGGCTGGGTTTCAAACCATGCAGGCCTGGTCTTAAAGCAGAGGCTAGAATGACATATAATATCAGCAAGTGTTTGCTCCAGATATGCATAGGAAATGTACATGACAGTACAAGAGAAACAGCACCAGTTTGACTCTGCAGATGACATTAGAGGTGGATCTGTCCCTAGTTGGAAGTTCACCTGGGAAAAAATAATCTATTAAGTGGCTTGGGGGCAACAGGGGAAAGTCTGAAGCATTCCCACACATCAGTTGCCCCAGGCATATGCTCTTGGATTCCAATATTTGAGGAAACATGGAGCTGGTAAACTGCTGAGGAACTGGCAGATCCAGAATCTTCTTATACTTGTATATACAAGCCCCACTTGGTCTGTCTTTGTAACCATTTTTGGAGATTACTTGTCATCTCCTTTTTTTGCTACTGGACCCAATGACCCCAGAGACCCTCAGAATCCTTTCTGTTGATGAGCCATCTTGAGATGATACCTTCTGCATTTTGAATAGGAGAACATTTCATCTTTGATCAGCTATACATATCAACCCATAGGGGCCTATCTAGCCATACCTTCAAAATTCAGGTGTTAATTTTTCAGCACTAATCTATGTGAACAAGAAAATCTAGTTTTCTAAAAGGAAAATGTCTTCCTGGGAACTCCTCTGGAAGTTCAATGGACCTTCAAATATATATATATATACACACACACATATATATATACACATACATACATACATACATACATACATACATATTTGCCCCCAGTGTCCTTACCTTCATCAAAAATCAGCCATTCCTTTCATGGCAATGGTACAAGGGCTCATTGCAGACAATGATATGTTTTCAGCAGTGCTTTCAATCTGGTTAGACGTCATAGAAGCTGCAGTCCATATGTGGGGTGTGAAAAAGATCATGATGGTGGCTGCAACTGTGTGATCAAAACACCACCCCTTCTCTTTACATGACTCATGTAAAAAACTGGCAGAGCTTCAAACACCCTGTCATGGCCACCATCTTGACTTTTCTCACACCTTCTCTCCCTGGTACAGTGGGAAGTATCCATTGGGACATTAACCAGAAAGGGTCAAAGCCATCACATCTCATCATAGGAAGGCTTCTTTTAGAGTCCTCCCCTTCCCAAAATTATGTGTATCCTTACTATAGAGCAACTGTTACCTTTTTAAAAAAAAAAAAATCCCAATCTGGGGGTCTTCAGGCATTAGACTATCAAAAAATAAAGTGTACTGTGTTTCATTCCTGATAAGTGAATAAGGTATTGTGATCAAACAATCAGGTTATTCACTTATCAGGAATCGACTGTACTGATAGTTTGTTTTGTTCTTCATCTCCTGTTGTAATTTCACTACTTTGCTGTGTCCTGTTCGTTTCTCCTCCTCTCCTCCTTCTTCCTCTTCTCCTTCTCCTTCTCCTTCTCCTTCTCCTTCTCCTTCTCCTTTTTCCTCTCCTCCTCCTCCTTCTCCTCCTCCCTTTCTCTGGCCCTTTCTCCTCCTGCTCCCCGCTTTCTCCTTCCTCTCTTTTCTCAAATGCTCTAGCACAATCACTGGAAAGTCTCCCATCTTTTGATCATGAAACATGCTCTGAAAGTGGGGAACAACCATCTTAACAAAATCTATGCACTTGCTATCAGGAACTAAAATATTGGATGTGTGTTATATCTGCTAAGTACGTGATTTCTTAAATAAAGCTACTGAAAGGATTCTGTTTGTCTGTAAAACTTTTATGATGGGTTAAAAGAGTTTTTAGGGGTTGTGCTTTATTTTTGTTAAACTGAAAAGGGGATGCAAAATCTTAAAATTCTGCCATGCCAAATATTTCTTTTCTTTTCTTTTCTTTCCTTTTTTCTTTTATTTATTGATTATTTATGTACATTATGTTTAATCTATCCATGGAACTTGGGAAAACATGGCCTTTACAAAAGAGGGAAAGGGCACATTTTGGGGGCACAAGCAACAATTTCTTGAAAGCCAAGATTGTTAATTAAAACCTGTTCCTTTTACAATGTAAAGGCTATATTAAGTAGAAAGATTATTTTTCTTACTAAATATGAAGCCATTTTTGGACACCAGAGAACGGTTAAAAGTGTCTGATGTTTGCCATATACCATAATAAACTTATTACGTGTCTGAACTGTTGTTTGTGTGTTACTGTAGAGTCCATGCAGAAAATTCTTACTTTGAGGTGCATACTCTGGACAAATGGCAGTTTAGAACAGTGTAGCAGTCAGTGCACCTGTCGACTGGGCTCATACTTACTGAAAAATCAAGAACAGAAATAACCAGTAATGACAACTTTCTTTTTCCATTTTCTCTATTTTTTTTCCCCAACTTTCCTCTTGATCTAGTCTCACAATTTTGGGGGCTGTTGCTGAAATCTGACAAATGAACAGGGGGGAAAAATCACATCCAAAAGCTTTTAAGGACATAAAATGAGAGAAAAAGAGACATCTCTTTCACAACTCAAGCTTTGATGAACATGTTCACGTGTAGGGTACTTTTAATATGTACGAAGAGATGATGTAGACATCCAAGCAAAGCTTAG